GAGTAAAAATTTTCATTTTACTTTTAAATCTAACAAATGGTAAATCTAATGACTTCAAGGCGGCATCTATATTATTTTCTCATTCTGTGTAAATACAACAAAAAGTACAATTTAAAAGTTAAAATCACAATAAGAAAAAGAAATAAAACCAGAAAAATACTACAAAAATTACAAGAAATAAAAAAATTTTTGGATAAATTTTACATAATTTATAGTTTCATTTTCAAAAATATGAAATTTTGCCAAAAAAAATTGGAATAAACTAAAAGATTTTTAGTGAAAATATAATGTAGGTGTAATTGCATTTTGTTGAAAATGGTGTAGACCTTTTTTTTACTTGTTGTATGTTAAGTATGAATTCGATTCGAAATTTTCATAAATCAACCATAATTTCAATATTTCAGGCTATAATTTTGAACAAATGAAAAAGTATTGACCAAATGTAGTCCTTTACGTAATTACATATTTAAAATCTATTAGAATCTTTAAAAAATTTAAGTTTCTTGAATAGAACTCACTAAAGTATAAACAAAAACTACTACAAAAATTTTGACTTGAAGTAAACTTAAACTGGCTGGCAATGGAACTTTTTTTAAAAGAAATTTATAAACATGGTTTTGATTTATTTTTATTGAAATAAAATAAAATGCTTTATATAATTTAATCCTTCTGGGAGAAATTTAGTGAGTAATTGAACGAAAATCTCTCAGGCAGAGCTTGTACATATAACAAACTTCTTGAATTATGTTTCTTGCTGAAACATAATGTCGTGCTGCTTTCTTCATCAAACAAAGCATGCATAATATAAACTTCTAATCAAAACTTATCTTTTAAAGATCTTACTTTATCCATTAAAACTCATTCAATATAACAAGATTATTTCCGAATTTTGATTAAAATTAGAAAGTTTTCCAAAATTTATTTACATTTCGAATTCGATAACTGAATTTCATATATCGTTTGCAAACCAAAATCAATCTACATTTTAAATCAAAAATTCCACTCTTATAATCGACGTGAAAAATTTCTGTATAAAACTTTTAAAATGAAAATTAAAAATTAGTTTATGATTACTTATAAATCCAATCGTTTATATATTATGAGTAAAACACTTTTCCTACTAAAGAATTACCAACTTGATTTTTAAATATATTAAATTTTTTTTACAAAATAAATACAATTTAATTTTTCTCCATTAGATAGCCATATGTTCGATTAAGTGGTTTTACTTTTATTATGTTGTTGGTGTAAAAGATATAATTTTTTTGAATAATTTATTTATGATTATTATTTATCTTTGTACACAAAAACAACCATTTCATTTCACAAATATTATAGAAATAACCAAAATGTGAAAAATGGTTGTTTATAAAAAAATTTCTTTTATTTATTTTGGATGAGAAATTTCAAATAAAATAATGTTTATGTACAAAGTACATACATACATGTTAATAAAAGAAAATGCATTACAACATAAATTTTTACTTTTGTTTTTTATTTAGAGTTGTTTGAAAACATCATAAAATGTATACAAAAACCTTATAGTTTGATTTGTTGTATACGCACATTTAGTTTTTCCAAATAAATTTTCCAAAATATCGTTTTAATTTTATTTAGTTCTCCAAAGTTGATTCGCATTTGATGTTATTCTATACTCTTTCTGTCCGATGGAATATAAATTTGTGCTTGGAATATAATTTTGCGAATATGATTCGATAAGACTCATTTGAAAAATAAGTCAGGAAAAGGCGTTTTTGTAGTATTGATAACGGTAAGAGTCGTTAATATAAATAATATAAATGCAATAATAAAGTTATAAAGATTATATGCATCCTTGAAACAAGGATTATTAACATTTTAAAATTTAAAGAGCATACAAACAACCAAAGATACTCTAAAAAGCTATTGTTATTTTAATACAATATTGTAGTTTGTTAAATAAACAAATAAATTGTTGAAAATACCAAACGTTCGTCGACGATACACGTCGTCTATCACCCCATGCTACGACACAAGCCGATACTACTTTTTCTAATCAGATTGTTTTGTCGTTTGAAATTTCACTTCAGTATAAATAAAGTATTGTGTAAGGTAAAAATAAAGTTTTAAACAAATTAGGGATTTTCAAAAGCTACAAAATGTAGTTATTTTTCTTATTTCATAATTAGATATAGTTTAGTGCTCACTCATCTTCAGTTTTTATGTAAACATATATGTAATTGCATTATAAGGAATAACTTAAATGTTGTGATTTATTTGTATTTTGATCACTAATACATTTTTTTTTCTTTCAGATTTATTTTTTTTATTTTCAGTTATTCTTTTTATGATGCCAGGGATCCGAGCTAGACTTAACATACACAATGGAACAACACATTTACTTTTTATGTAACACGGGGATCCGTGCTAAATGGATCCCTCCAATACGTACAGTATACATATACTTCTATTAATAATGTCAAGGATTAAATGTTCATATGCAAGAGCCTGCCACATTTGAATGAACTGGATTCGAGCTAGGTGGATCCGTGCAACATATGCGTGAACAGGATCCGAGCTAGGTGGATCCCTACAAGATATGCATGAATTAGATCCGAGCTAGGTGGATCTCTACAACGTATGCATGAACTGAATCCGAGCTAAGTGAATTCCTACAACATATGCACCAACTGGATCCCTGCAAGATATGCATGAACTAGATCTGAGCTAGTTGGAATCCTACAACATGCACGAACTGTATCCGAACCAGGTGATTCCTACAAGATATGCATGAATTGGATCCGAGCTAGACGGATCTCAACAACATATACATGAATAGAATCCGAGCTAGGTGGATTCAGTTCCTTTAAGATATGCATGAACTAGATCTGAGCTAGGTCACTACAACATGCACGAACTGTATCCGAGCCTGTTGGATCCAGCTGCCATAATGCATCCCATGTAAGTGCACACAAAATTGTTGTAGTTCTTGTTTTTTTGTTTTTAAATGTTTCGGCTTTTGTGCCACAATTTTTAGTATTTAAAATTGGAAGTTTGAGAAGGAAATTTTTTTTAATTTTGTTGCTTAAAAATTCTTCGATTGTCGACCAGGATTCGATTAACCAGCTATTTTGCAATTGGTAGAGAGGAAGTTTTTTTCCTTATATCTAGAAAATAAAATAAGTATATAGGCAAGATTTGGTGGGAATGTATTCAAAGAAAATTTTTTTGTGACTTTTAAAATATTTTAAAATGAAATCAAAATTAATTGTTTGATTTTTTTTAAACAAAAACTTTCCAAATCAAAAGTTAATTGCAAATCGATTTATAAATAAATGAAACAAAATAAAAGTATCAAAATTCTTTTCAACATACAAAAAATGATATTCTATATTTATAAAAATTTTTTAACTTAATAACAGGCAAATTTAACTTTTATTATTGATTTAGAAGTTTTTTTTTTTGTATAAAAATCAAAGTAAGAAAAGAGATTATAATAAAATCAATACATTTTTAATGTAGTGATTTTGATTGAATAACTTGTAATTCATATTGATGTACGTATGTAGTCCCAGCTCGAAAAATTTTAAAATAAATTTATCAAAAAAGATGGAAATGTTTTACAATTGGACATAATATAACCATAATGAATTGGAATATCCTTGTAAAGTTAACATAACTACATAATACTGCAGTATCCCAATGACCTTAGCAGCATCAGTTAGAATATCTATGGTCCTTACTATCTTGAAAGGTCTTAACAATGATCAGAAAAAAAATTTTTTTTTTGTTAACAATAATATTTCATGTTGAGTTGTACCTAAAGGACAGTTGAATATCCTTTTAAATGTATCATATATATATGTACATATGCCCGTACTCTTGATATTTACGTCTACTTAAAAAAAGAATCTAAATTTTTTCCTACTTTATATATTCCTACATATTTGTTTGTAAGGTCAGTGAATATGAGGTCTACTATAAGAATATTGTCATTGTATTCCTTTAAGAATTTTATTAAAGAATCAAATTTCTTTCTGTTTATTGCCCTATTCAATCATTCAGTAACAAAATACATACAACAATATAGGAAAATTTTAAAGGATGATATAGTTATTTCTATGTTTTTTTTTAAAATAGAGTCTTGCGTTGTGTTTATACATAGATATGTATATGAAAAATAAAATATTACACTAAAGATCAAAGCTTTGGATGCCAATATACGTGATGGTGCAACAGGTCTTGAAAAGAATTTTTATTGATATTATGATTACCCTTCATGTTGATGTATTTTAAATAATTTTGATAATGTATGCATCTTTACATACCAAAATTTTCTTTTCATCGTAATAGAATGTAAAAGCATATTTTAATCTCAGTAAATTTAATATGTACATATCTATTCTTTTTGGCATAAATCTTTTCAATCTCACTTTGATTGAAAAAAATTGCATAGTTTGTTAGTTGTGACCTCTTTGTATGCAAATAAATACAATAAGGAGATAGTTTTTACTGCTTGTACATTTAGTCATTTCAACGTTTCTTTTGATAAACAAATATGTATGATTTGAGGAAAATAAGATTTTATTTGAAAATTTTTTATTTACTCCGTTCGCAGAATATTTCATAATGTTACGGCCATACTTTGTATGAAACTAGACACATAACATTCAGAAATCGGTATACAGGATTCAGAAATCACTTGACACTGTCTATTCAATACGTAATACTGACTTTGTTGCGCGTACAATTCTAAATTTAAAATTGAAAATGATGAAACTATTCAAAAACAGAAAATTCATAAAATTCAATTATCCCTAACTATTTTAAATTCGTTGAGAACATAAAAATTTATAAAAATATTTAATGAAGAAACATTTAAGTAAAAATTATGTTGAAAAATCAAAAAATATTTGGCCTCAATTTAAGAAGCCTCACATTTTTTTTGTATTTTTAATTATTAAAAATTTTATTTTAAATATATACGTGATTATGTACATAAATAATAAATTTTTAATTACCTTATATTTTGATATTTGATTTTATAATTTCAAAAATTTAAATTTCTTAAAATTTAAGTTTTTTAATTTTTTTTATGAATAAACAATACTTTTTTGTTTGAATTTCGTTTATATTTTTTACTTTGATTTAAATTGAACTTTTTATAAGAAAATTAAAATTTTTCACCGAAATGCCAGACCACAAAGAATAATTTTTCCCGCCTTCTTGTCAAAATTTTTAAAATTTCATTTTGTTTTTTCTGTATATGTTTTTTTTTTTAAATATGAGACAAAAATTAGTAGATTAAAATTATAATTGAATAAGACGGAATCACTTAAATCTTTTCATCAAAAAGCACTCATATTTCATAATAAAAAATTTCAAAATTTTAATATTAATCAAAACTAAAAAAAAATATATTGAGAAAAATTTAAAAGATAAACCAAAGAAAAAAAATGGAAAATTTTTTTTTTGTTAATATTTTTAAAATTTATATCTTATTTTTTCTTTTTTTTTGGTATTTTATTATAAGCAAGTTTACGCGAAATTATTTTAAACTAGCACAAGGAATTTTACAAATTTTTTAATAATTTAAACTTGATTTTGTATTTTTTATGTGAATGTTATAAATTATAAAAATTTTGTTTTGCTTTTTCTTTTGTGTTAACATAGATATATGTATATACCTTCATTACTTTATGAAATTTTGTTTTTTTTTTTATTACGATTTGAGAAAACTGACGATTTTATAACAATGGCCTTAATGTGTACGAATACACATATAAAGTTATTAATCTAATCCATTTCCGAAAAAAAATAGTCAGATAAATTATTAGAACATAATTTATATATATGTATATTATGTTTACAAACAATATAATTCAATTAACAGCACAAAATGAGCTTGTTTTTATCAATGAAAATGAATAAAATAAAAATAAATTAAAACAAATTATTTCAAAATATTCTAAGTTTTTATTCAAATTCTTCTAAATAATTTCATTATTTGGATGGGGTAAAATTCGAAAGATAAACTAATTTCTCATACATTGCAACCATTTCTAATTTAAACCTCTTTTTTAAGAAATATTTGTACCTGTTCATCTTATTTTCTAATATTCGAAGATATTTTAAAATATAATAGTATATTTCTAAATAAAATTCCTATTTTTAAAATTTTATTTATTTTTATTGCTCTTTTGATGTACATTGTTGTTCCATTTATTTTAAGAAAAAAAAGGAATATTTCAAGTGCGTTTAGTTATAAAAATTTTCATTTTACAGTTCTGTAACACGTTTGTTATAAATTATTACTTTTTTTTTTTGTTGTTTTCTCACTTTTTTTTCTGAATTTTATACCTATGTATATTTTTTTAAATTTTATTAATATTTCTTTAACATTCTTTTTTTATTTGAAAATTTCTATTATATTCTCTAACATTTATATAACAATATAAAATATTATGATTTTAGAAGTTTATTTGAAATTTTCTATTCTTATACATTTTATGTCTTCTTTATTATATTATTATATATTTTTATTCACTATACCATTTATTTTATTTAACATAATATATGCAAATACATATACAAATTTATGCTTAAAATTATGTCGCTGTATTTTTTTTTTGCGATCGCTGAAAAGCACTCATAATTATAAAAATATCACACTACACTTTCTGTTTTGGTTTTCTTTTTGTTCTTTTTTATTAATATTTTAGTATTTTTCTTATAATTGACTATTGAATTATTGTCTATCCTATATATACATGTGTGATATATAATATAAACTATAAATTTTGGCTAGTCTAACTTATTCTTTAATTCTTTAACAATTAAAACAAATTTTACTTACAAAAAATTTTAAAGTAATAACGACAGAAAAGAATTACTGATTATTCATTAAAGTACACCACGTTATTTCTCTATTAAGTTAATCTAATCTAATTTTCGATTATTCGTGTCGCTGTTTCAATATTTATGATTTCATTACAACAAGTCTTATGTATTATTCATAATTTCCACTTTAAACTTATTATTTAAATTCACTGATATTTCATTTTACATAAAAAATTCAGCTTCATAAAAAGTTTTTAAGCAATAAAAATTTCCTAAAAATAAATTTAATTCATTACTTTTGTGAATTTTCGCTACAAAATACAATACATATTAAAATAAACTCAAAAATCTATCATCCGCTGGGTTCAATAGACTGAATACAACAGAAGAAAAATGTATTCATTTTTTTTTTTTTAATATTTTCTTTTATAATTTTTTCTCTTTTTTCAAGCTCATACAAAACTAACACTTGCTACACTACAAAAAAAATTGTATACTCATTAATTCTTAATTCGAATAAAAGTTCCACCTTATAAACTCTGTAAATGATATTTTTCCATGGAAATTCCGCGATCAACTAAAAAAATATTCATTTAGAAAGGAAAATATCTGATGAAAATGAGATGTGATCCTCATATTATGTAATATATGTTTGTGCGCAAGTATATTATTGCACTGCGCATATAATTTTTCCCAAAATCTCCGAGATTTTTTTTTCTTTAAATATAAAGAAAAAAGATAGTTTAGCAGGAAATTTTCTCTCTCATTCAGCTGAAATTATGGCAGAAAAAGTTCTGTTAGTTGTTCTACATTATATTCAGATATACCATACATGTTCCTAGAATAGTACATGTAGAATATATAGAAGTTTTGCGGCTAAATAAACAACAGATAAGATCATTCAAATAGTTTTGCACTTTTCTGCACCGAAAGGCAGAAAAAACTTTACATTTGCAATTATACTCAATAGAGTACTTTTAGGGAAAATTTTGAAATACATGTACTTTTCACAATCTCATTAAAATACGATAAATTCAGCATGAAAGGAAATAAATATTCTTCACAGTATATGAGGTGTACTTCCATGGATTTGAGGATTTCAGTTCAGTTCTTATATACTACACACTTCACTTGCGATTTATTATGGATTCTATTTTAACTATCGCATAAATCGATTATTTTGTATAAATTTCTTAAATAAGTTCAATTCAAAAAAACTCACCATCTTCAGTTTTCTTTAGAAAATAATAAATAAGCTTTATTTTACATTCATCCAATCATTCAAAGAAATCAATTATGTACATATGTAACTCATTCAAAGTAAACGAATTTCTTAATTAACCGAAGTACTCATGTATCGCATAATTCGTATTTAGAACGCAGCTACATTATAGTCATCTGTTAAATGTTATTTTTCTTAAATTGATTGATGTTGATTTTATTTTAATATTGTAACATTCTTGTTTTAAATATTTATAACTAAATGAATTTGTAAAACAGAAATCAACAACATTCATACAATGCATTTTAAACATAAATGTATCTGCTAACATTTATTCTAATTAATTTTAATTTTTAACATTCTAATTTTAAAAATGAACTATAAATATATTCAATATATGTATATTGAAATTTTCCTGAAACAAAAACCAATGTCGAAGAAATAAAATACGCTTAATAACAAAATTAATTAAAATAAATTGGGAAAATTGAAATTAATTCTTTTAAACAAAAATAAATATGTACAATATATTGAAAATTTTTACAAGTGGCTATATCATACGTAATACATAAAATACATACGAAATTATATAAACAATCTGTACGGGTGCGTATTCATTACCAAAATATAAAATATTTAATATTATTTTAGATATTTGGCATCATTATTTTTGTCTCTTGTATCAAACAGAATCGTCATTTTAGACGTCATCATTTTTAGGCGTCCTCCAAAAGAAGCTAAAATAAACGAAAATATCTTAGATAACAGTAGTTCAACTATAAGATACAAACAAATATTTGCATACAATCTATATGGAAATATTGCAAATTCGAAATTTAGAAAATAATATTAAATATTTCTTAAAAATATTTTTATTAGCTATTATAACTAAAAAAATCAAGGGCAAAGAAATGTTGTTCCTTTTATTTTTTTATTTATTAAACATGAAGTCTAAGGTGTTAATGTAATGTAAGTTAATATAATATTTTATTCTTCATTAAAAGCATCCATACCAATCTATGATTCCATCAAGAAGTATTTGAAGAGCCTGGCGGGAAGAAGAGGACAATGACGAATTTGTCTGTTTTTACACTGATGAATCCAAATTTGTGACAGAGTGGGTCGGGGAATTTGCATATGAGTTACAACTGATGATAGAATGAGTGGGTAGTGTTGTTCGTAAATGGGATCTAGGCTGTACATTGCTTTAGCTACTCAACGTTATTAATTTCAACCTCAGTTATTATTTGACAACCTCACCAAATACTTACTACTCAATTTGTTATTATATTTAAGATTTTAAATATTATAAACGATTTTTATATTTTCTTATTCCTTGTAAAAGTTTCACAATTTCTTCATGAGAAATCATTGCTCGAATTTTGTTTCATTTGAAATTTGTTTAATTTAAAAAGAACAAATTATTTTTAAAAATGCATTTTGAATAATTTTGTGATTTTAAAATTAAATTTTTTCAATCACTTAAGAATTAATTTAAATTCTATGATTTACAGAAATATATTTAAAATCAAATTGCACTTGTCGTTCATTAAACATAAACTTAAATTAAATAATAAATCAAGTGAGTTAATTTCAATTAAAACGATTGGATTAATTTTCAAAGCATACTCATTTCGAAAACTTTAGTTAACATTTATTAGCTTGAAAAAAAGTTCAAACGCACCATAGGTGTACGTAATATTCATTGCTCATATTCTGCCGGTGTTGGTGCAAATTTACAGGTTACGAACTTTACAATGTAATTTTTCCAAACGTTATAAAATATTTAATAAGAATTTTTGTTCGAAAGAATTGCGAATTAAACGTTATTAAATCTAAAAACTAATTTATAACATCACAAGTGTAAAATATTTGCAAATTTACAATACTAAGATATTTTACAAAAATACTATGAACTTCTTTTGATGAATTCCATTTAGTAAAAATGAGAGGAACAATTCATTGATCACATATGTACATATTCAACATCATGCGAATGACGATAATTTTTCTGTTATCCTTATATCTGTAACGTCATGTTTTACAACAAAATTTTTAGTCTTTGATTCTGTGTTGCTTTTCTTTCATTAATTTTCTAATATTTTACTTGATTTTTTTTTCCATTCCTTTTTTTATTGAATTATTGACAAAATCCAAAATTTTCGTTTATTCCTGAATATGCGAAACGAAATCCAAAATTAAACGGCCAGGAAAAACAAAATAAAAAATAAAGAATAAAAGCTGAAAAAAATTGAGGAAAGAGTTGAAAATCTTTTATGTTAACTACTGAGTATTATTTTCAGATTCAGGTTTTATTTGACATTTGTTTTTTTTTTGTTTTTACTTCCGAATCACATGAATTTCACTTATTTATTTTTCAATGTTCCTCACTTACTGTGATCTTATCCCAATAAAAATATGTGAATGAAGTCAAATATATTTGAAGGTTAGGGTCGATAACAAATTCGAAAGAAAGAAGAAAAATATTTGATTTCAGAATGTTTTTTTCAACTTGCATTTTAACTTATGTATAGAAAAGATAAATAAAAACGAAAACACACCATATGTTAAATTTACTTAAGTTTTTTTTTATTAGTTCACATTTTTATTGAAAAAGCTAAATTGAATAATTTTCGATAAAATATGAAAATATTTGGAACTATCGTATTATTGCTATAAATAAATAAATGGTGTAAAATATATGAAAAAGTAAATTTTATGATTTACATACAAAAACACAAACATTTTAAAGTGTTGGTAAATATCATTTACTTTTTCATCATCGACAAGGATGCATTTATATACAATAAATTTTCCCGTGCTATGTAGAAAATTTTATATAAAATTACTAATTAATTGAAATTATAACAAATTTTTTCTATTTTTTAGATCTCTCAGAAAGTTCTGATAACTGAATTGCCAATATTTAAGAACAGGAGAGAATAGTAAATAAGAATCTGTAAAGTTGATTGAAAGTTAGAATGCGAAAGTTAGTATTGTGGTGAATAAACTCATAAAAGTTCATTATTTTATTGTCAACAATTCGTACGACAGGTTAAAATTTTTTATAATATTTTTCGTATAAAGAAAAGGACCTTATAAAATAAAAAATGTTCCAATATCTAATTAACTTTAAAAATAAATGCATGACCCCAGATTTTTAAAGATGACGAGAAAATTGAGACAAAAATATTTTTCTTTTTCAAGTAATAAATTTCGATTTTCAATATTGAATTATTGAAAATTTCTAAACATTTTATTATACAATAATAGAAAATTTACAGAATTCACAAAAAATTGCTAAATTTTTTTTTTTTGCAATTTCAAAAATAAGTTAAATTGCACAAATAAAAGACATTGCACTGATTTTACATTTGAAAATATTTTAATAAGATTTTAAGTACATCAATAAATATGTATGTATTGTACACCATTCTACTAAGAATAAAATATATCAAGCACTTTCTAAAATCGTACTCTTTTGCAATTTAAAATTTTCAGAAAAGAAGAATAGGAAGGCATATGCATGTATGCAAAATCAATTTGAAATTAATGAAAACTTGAAAAAGCACCTGAATTTACCAAAAATGCTATATAAATGTCTTTAGAATTGCTTTAAAACATGAAGGACACATTACATACAACAATAACAAGAATGAAAATGGTTAACAATATTAATTGTATCAATAATTTCTTCCGAAATTGTTTGGTTTTTTAATAATTGTTGTGTAAAAGATTCAAAGTCTTGTTGATTGCTGATTAAATCGTCCTTTTGTTTTTTAACTTTGAATATTCAAGATCATTTATAATAGAAATAAAGTTTAATTCTGAATTCACACAGATAAAGCCATTTTCCTTTAGATTTTTTTTTACTGTTATCTTGAAAAGTTGTTGTAAGAAAAACAATAAATTTCAAACGCACGTGTATTGCTCTAAGGATAATAATTTTATAATTCTTTTCCGTAGAATATGGATACACCCACCAACCGTAGCAAAAAAACCAAAAAGGAAAAAGATATTTTTTTTTTATTTTTTTAAATAAACTTACACAATATTTTTTTGCTCTTGTGAAGTACAATTTGTTTTAAAAAATACCTTCATGTACCCTGTTAAAGTATATTAAGAGACTAAGTACATAAAGGTTGATACTTGAGAAGGGAAAAAATCTTCATTTAAAATTTTTTTCGATGATTGTAAATTAACAAATTTTCGATTTCAAATAGAATTAAAACCATCAATTACATCCAAACGCTATATTTATGCATTTTGAAGATTAAAATATTAATAATTATTGTATCATTTACTCTCTTATTTAACCAAGGCTAAT